AGTCCTTACATTAATTCTGATTGAATTCAGTAATCTAGAAAACTCAGACAACTATTTTCCTATGAGTATGATCATTGAATCAATTCACTGAAGGTTTCAATCACGTGAAGAATGTTAAATTTGATGTCAGGTGAAAAAATACTATACCCGTTGAGTGGTAAAGGCTGCTCAGTTGACCTCTAAAATGTGTTTGGTAAACATAATTTAAACCGCGCTGGTTATTGGAAAATTATGAGACAAGACTTGGCAAGATATCGTGGCGAGTAGAATGATTTTTGTTGCCGCGGCCGAGGCGATACTACACACAAGGTTATTATCATTTTTAGTAGTTATTTGCAAGTCGTGTGCTAGTCTTTTTGTTTGTCTGTTTTTTTTTTCAGAGTAAAGAGACAAAAATTGAATCTGCCTCCAAAAGTGACGACCTTCAGTCGATTCTCACAAATTCAAAATAACTGAGCAGTCAGGCATCTCGCCGAAACTTACTCGGAGCCATTCCTAATATATCATAATAAAAATAATCCATTCGTCGCGGCTTTTGAAATGCAAGCTCCAGTTTTTGTCGCGAACGCGTGGTAAATTAGCAAAAAGGGCCATTTTCAACTATCATAATGATCCAGCTGAGATTACAAAAACGTGTGTTACTACAGCTAACTACAAACAACACTCCTACAAAGGACTTCTCTCATACGCATGATAAGACAACACAATCAAATGGTACCCATGGGTTCAAACCATTCGCACTGAAAGGCCAGTTTAATTGATGATGCAGATGATAATATCATCTACCGTATTAATGGCACAGTTGATGTGGTTGCCATAGACAAAATAATGTCCTAGTGTCTGAGAGGTGGATTGATTGCACATGAGGGGAAATTCAAAGCACTGATTTTGAGAACACACCCTTACGATGGCACCTTGAAGCCCTTTATGTTGGGAGACGAAATTGTTGAATACACATCTTTTCTTGTTTGCCTGCAGGTAACAATTGATAAAAAAAAGAGTTTACTGGGACAAGGATGTACAAACAGCTGCAATATCATTTACTGCCTTAAAAACTTTAATGTGGAAAGAAAAATATAAATTATCTAGAACTAATTTAGCAACAGTTTACTCAAAATAAAGATTCAAAATGTGTCATATTAGAACACGGACAATCAGGTGATGAGATGCATGTAATGCAATTTCTTTGTTGTTTACAGTGAAAAACCATTGATGCTTTATTTAAACTGAAGGTAAGTAAAATACATAAAAGAAAATCTTGCAGCAATGGCTGCTTCAATAAACTGTGTTTAAATCTACCTAATCACTGGCAAATTAAAAGGTTACTTGCCACATTACTCATACAATAAACCTTTAAAATATCATTCGTCTCTTTAAAACAATGACTAGCAAAAGCTTTACAGAGGACTCTAGTTACAGATCACTTCTTATATAAGCTATTAAAAGACGACAATTAAATTGTACTACTGGGGTAATTCCTTTCTAGGTGTAACAAGT